TCTAACATTCTGTGATTCTGTGAAACCAAAGCAATTTGTCATTCAATACTAATCTTCTGTGTCCCTTCAACAAGAACATTAGAACAGAAAAAGCCAGGCTTTTCCTCCAGTGATTCTTAACACACCAAGTACACGATACCGTATGAGTCCATGAAATCTATCTTCTGTTATCTGTGTATAGTAAATCAACATAATCAGCAAAACCAAACGATTATATGAAGAGAGATTTGTCATTAAGGTGCATAGCAATTATGACATGCTACACAGTTCCAGCTCTCAAATCCACTCTCCCCGAATGCTGAGACCAGCAAGCATTCCCATGACCAAACCATAGCTGTCATTTGACTAAACCCTGCAGTTACACAAACACGATGTCTGAAATCCAGTGTCTTGGTTACATGGTTTGGTTTAGTGCAGTATTTGTAAATACATCTTGGAACTTCTCTGGGTAAGAAAACTCAGAACATGATATTTTAATTTATGTATTTGAGCCTTTTGAATTGACTTAATCTGCTACTCCTGACAGTAAGTCTAGAACATGTGCATTAACTATGCCTTTTTCCACAGTACATTTACTTCTAATTTCCATGCTTTATGGGAAAAAGTTCAGTATTGCAAGGCACTTCATGCCCAACTGTATAACTCCTGATTTTCTATACATACGTATATCATACACATGAATTATACTTTTCTTGTCATCACTGAGTAGTAAATAATGTTCACTTACTATTATTTCCACCTGTATTCTCTGGTGTTTAATGGTAAAGCCTACACAGTAACTGCCAGGAAGGGCAGTTTAAAATGTTTTACTGCACTATATACACAGATAGGCAACAACGTACAAGTGCTGTTGACCTCCAAGACCTTTTCCTCAGATTTTGTTGGGATAAGTAATTAAAAATATTCCCCAAACAGGCTACCCTGCAGAGTTGGTCTTTCAGGCAATCCTGAACGAACACAGTTACAGTCCTGCCACTGTTCCGAGGTGCATACAAGCCTGCCACAGCAGCAGCAGAATAAAGGTAGGGGATGTACTCAGAAAATGTGGCAATCTCAGTCTGACCCAGAGGTCACCAATCTCACCTGGTAACCAATCTTACCTGGCTTCAGAAAAGGGAGAGTTTCTTTGTAATGCTTTCTTTCTTGAGATGGTTTATAAGGAGAATTCAAACTCTAATGCCCTGGGACAAAAACTAAATTAAGCATAATCCATACTGTGAGTTACAGCAAAAAAAAAAAAAAAAACCAACATTCTGGACAACATCAGGTTTTACTACATGTAATGGCTTTATGAAATGTATAAATGTTACTGTTCTATAAAATACATTTTTCATTCCAAAATGCAAGTTATAATTCATATTTATTCAGGACTTTCCTTTTTAGTGTTTTAAACTTACTTTTAAAAGAAAGACGCAGGATTGCCAAATTAAAGATTTATTATAGTGTTTTTATTAACAAACTTTCATTGGAAAGTTCTGGGCGCATTAACATAGGAGGCACATTGGCTTCGATGTTTGGCATTTGACAGTCAACAGAATTGCACTTCACTGCGATAGCCTTGCTACAACAGTGTGAACCTTCACGGCAACCATCATAGAGAGCCTCTCTCACTGACCTATTCAGCAGATGTTTTTTGTCATTTTGGTCAGCCTTCAAAATTCGGTCATTCTGCAAAGACTGCTGATCTATCTTGCTCTCAGCTTTCTTTCTCTGCTTTGACAGAGAGGCTTTCTTGCTTTCAACCCCATTTGCTTCCGTACCACCCTTTTCATCACACTTGTCCGTCTGCTGACAGAATGCCTTTTGGTTATTTGATACACTGTTCTCGCATTCGGAGCAACGCACTATGAGAGGTCCTGCGTTTCGGCAGAGAAACTGTGAGGAGCTCATCACCTTTGGAACAGTTCTTACGTTTTCCTCTGGGTTTTGATGAGCATGTGAATCTGTCCTATTTATTCTTTGATGTGCCTGAAACTGTTGCACGGACTGGAGGAAAAAATTTTTAGGCAGAGAGTTCTGCGTCATCGTTCTTTTGAGCCTTCCTTGAAGGCAACTGCAGTGGAGGACATGCTGGACCGGGTGCATGTAACCTTCGGCTGCTTGCTGTAAAGCGTTTACAGGAGCTACAGAGCTTTGGATCTGTACAGTTCCCGGTGAAGGAGAACACTGGTAACAGAAAGTATCGCTTAACTGTTGACATGAGTGTGGACTCCACTTCACTGCCAGTTGCTTATATGCATCAGGACAGCTACACTGCCTGTTCTGAGAGAAAACTGGGCATATGGTGTGCTGGTCAATAGCTGTCTGCAGCATAGCTGAACTAGCAACATTTATGCTTTTACTCACTTCACTATTATAGGCTGAATGCATAGGCATACACGTGTTTTGGGGCCTGCTGCTGAAGAGCTCTGAGCAGATGTGAGTTTCTTCGTAGGTCACTTTCTCTGCAGGGTTACACATACCGGTTTGTGATGCCAGAGGCTCGAGCTCATAGTGCTCGTGCTCCATTTCTGGTTTTTGGCTTCTGGAGTCCAGCTGATATTTGCTAACAGGATGGGATTTATTTTGACCTCTGCCTCCTTGGGCTCCTGAAAAGGTCTGAGAGAAGGCATTACAGCGCAGCTTTTTTGGTAGTGGGATCTGGCCACAAGTGCCCTGGGGTCCAAGGCACCGGCACATGCACTGGAAGAAGAATGTTGCAAAAGCCCAACTAATGCACATTATAAGCATCATAAAAGTGCCAAGCTGCGTGTACGCCAACACTGTAGAGGGCATCATCATTGCTCCAGCTACAAAGGTAGTCAATGCAGCCATTGCAATAGCAGAACCCATACGGCTTAAAGAAAAAATGACTTTTCCCTCTCGGTCAGGGTCAGGGGCTAAGCGATAAGCCACTCCATAATGAACAGCAAAGTCTACAGATAAGCCAACAGCAACCGAAATAGTGACGGATTCTAACACATTTAGCTCCCATCCAAGAAGAACCAGAGAACCTACGGTGACAAAAATAGTTCCAGCTATTGAAACTATTGCATAAAGGCTTATAATTATATTCCAAGTTGTAAGAAGCATTACACTAAATGCAACAGCAACTGAAAGACCCATGGCAATCAGAGTACCATCTGAAAGACTGTCCTGAAGATCATAAAATTCAAGGTTACTCACAAACCAACCATTGCTAAGACCTTCAGGAGCAGAACTAAGCTCACTTGAAATCCATGAGTCCACCTCTTTATAGAACTGATGCATTTTCTCATAAGCTAGCGTGAAGAGGTAGGTGCTTTGGAACTCCAACACAACTGCCCTGATGGTGTCATTTAGGTCAAAGCGGGGCCCTGGGGTTTTACTATCTAAATGGTACCCTGTGCTTCTTTCTAGCTCCATTATAGCTCTCTTGATACATAATTCAAAAACTTCTTGTTTGTATGGAAAGCTCCAGTGGCTGCAGCAGGGATAAAGAGCTGGCTCATCACAGTCTTGATTTTCCATCCACTGCTTAAATGTTTCAATAAAGCAGCTTGTGAAGTCTTGTTCTTCAGTCTGATAATAAAATGTTTGATTTCTTAACTTCTGACAGAAACGTAAAATCCAAACCTGTGAAGCTGGGCTAGCGATATTAAAACTGCTATCTAGTTGCAGCCTTCCTTTACTTTTAGGGTTTAAAGGGTCACCATTATCCTCAGGTGTGACACCCCAGATTACTGTAATTGGCATGTGGAGCTCTTCTCCATGGTGGACACGTTCAAACATAAAAAGCTTTTTGTATTCTGCATCATATCGTTCAAATGGGTGAGAAGACCTAAATACCTGAAACTCGGAGAGTTCCAATGACGGCAGTTTCATCTTTGGATTTACACACACAATATATGCTCCACCAATTGTTAAGGCAAGGAACCAGAAAAGCCAAATATATCGAAATTTGATAACAATGCATGGCAAAACTTTTTCAAAAAATATCCTGGACGCTTCTGAGACTGCAAAAATAATCTTGTGGAACATTTGGCACAACACTGTCCAGCAGTTTTTGTTGTTATATACCCTCTGCTGGGGTTTCTTAAAGCAACTGAAAATATTGAGAAGATATCGTTCATGTAATACAACTACAGCAGGTAGCCATGTAACCATCAAAACATAATTCACCAAAATAGCAGTGCCGGCATAAACACCAAAACACCTGATTGCTGTGATATTGCTGACATAATTAGCATAGAAGGCAGCAGCGGTAGTAAAACTTGTGACAAACATGGAAAGAGCAGCATGCTGCAACGTGATGCTCACCGTCTCAGAGGTTCCAGCATGAGGTTTATCAAATTTTGTGTAGTTCCAAACATCACATAAGACAAAAGCATCATCTGCTCCAATCCCAACAAGAATAATCAATGCAGTGAGATTCATGAATGGAAAGAACTCAAAATTAAATACTACCCGATAAAGAAAATAAGAAATAATCAAGGAACTAATTATTGCAAACATAGTCATCAGCGTGATAAACATGGACTTCGTGTATACACACATAACTAATAAAACAATTACAATGGCTATGGCAGGATACACAGTATCCATCAACAGGTAATCTTGAAACAATCTATGTTTTATTCCAAACTCAATCCCTGTGACGGTTGTTACACCATCAGAAGCATTCCAGTTCTCAAAGTTATCTAGGTAAATACTCATCATGCTTTCCCCTTTCTCAGTCGGAGAGAAGAGCATGCTGTATTTTAAAGCTGGTAAGACATAGTCAGCTGTCTTTGGGCTTAGAAAATCCTTGTCCACTAGATAGTGAAGGATCTGGTAAACAGCGTTGTACTTGGTACATTTGCGAGGCACATTTGTACACTTGAGTTGGTCCTTCCTTTTGGCATTCATATCCCAGCAGTCCGGCCCCAGGGTCCCGTTGTAGTAGTATTTGGCACATGTGCGAAGCAGCTTTAGGGTGTGAGAGACATCCCGTTCTACAATTTTTTGACACGATGATCTGTTGTTTAGAATAGCAATATAGTTGCCCAGTGTCCAGCTGGGACAGCACGAAGCAGCAGTGGCTCTCTGGCAGAGATCCCCAAACTGGGAATGGGATCTGATCTGTATAAAGACAGGCAGGGCAAAAAATCCAGTTTAAAGTAACAGTCTGAATTATTAGAAACATTCACACAAAAAAAAAATCCCGAAGTGATGAAAATTCAGCTTATGGTCCTTTTGTGTTAACATTTTAAATTCTAATTTCCACACACAGTGTTTTTGATACTCCTGAAAATAAACAATCAGCCATGCATCTATGAAGTTTCACTCTGCTTGGAATCACATGCTGAAGTTCCTAAGAGAGGCAGGGACTTATCATCCAGAAAGAAAAGGTGTGACAGCTTTACGACGACTTCCATCACCTGACCTCTCTTCTACAACCCTCACTTTAGGACTCGTTTTTAGCTCTTGTACAGCTGTCAGACATTTCCGCCAACCAGGTCAGCCTGTCACCCAGGCACTGCCTGTCCCTACATTGTGCAGATTTTCTAAGGCACAAGCACCAGATAATTCTGCTGTGGCACGAAGCACCCCAAAATAAGCCCTGCTGCACAGAGACAATGGTCATGCCTCTGAATGCTGCAGAGATCCAGCTTATTGGGGAGGATGGCTGCTGCTGGTTAAGTGACTGCCCAAAGCCTAGGAACTCCTACCAGAGTTTTACAAAAATGACAGCAATTTTAACATTTTGGTTAAGGACTCAGCTAAATGAGTATTAATCCCTTTTGTGGATACTCTTCTTTCGCCTCAAGAATATTCCAGGTTTAGCTGAAGCCACTAAAAGCACGACTTTGGTAAATCACCATAAGGCACTTCTAGGCAAAATTGAAAGCATCTATAAAATAGAACTGAACCTTTTAAGCAACAAGGTTAGCTCAGGGAAGTTTTCCCAAGTTGGGAAAACTCAATCTTGAGAGGGCACAAGGAATGTAAGTCTTAAAAGCCAGAACTTCTGGCTTGTTGTATGTGACAAATTAGAATTAATCCTTCAAATAGTTAGATATTAAAATCTCAGCCTTAATCAAGTTACATAGAATGAACAGATATTAATAGTCACATTAATAACACCATGTGCTTAAGAGTTTACAGAATTGTTCCCTAAAACCATTATTCATGTATGTTTTAAACTTAGGTGACCTGAAATACACCACTTCTTATTTATTTATTTATTTTTAGCGAAAAACAGGTTTATTATTAGCAATCTTTTATAATGCAGACAAAAAACCCTGCACTTGGGGATTCTCATGGCAGTTTTAGAAGCTTTAATATGGACTTAGTTTTGTCAACCAGTTTCTGAACAATAACAAACTGGCATTCCAAAAAAACAGGATAATTCACATTTGATTGTTTCCAGATAAAAACACTCACACATGCAAACTCAGGAAAAAATGAAGAACCTAAATAATTCCTTTCCTAAATAAAAGGAAGCACTGGAATAGCATATCTGTACTTTTCATGGCACATCTCCAGGTTAATCCTAGGAGGATATAATAGGCAAACTGGGAGGAAAGGATTGTATTGTCTCCGCTATGTATTCAAGTTCAAGATGGGACAATGAGGTTTATATGCTGTTCTTCAACACTTGCTGCAGGTGATAAACATTCACTGGTAAAGTAACTGTTGCCAAAGCTAAAGTAACTTGAGCTGGCAGCTGGAAATTAGAAATTAAAATACAAAATTCAGCTCCAGATAGCTCATTAAAATACTACGTAAAATGTTAATATCTTGGGCTTTGCTGGTGATCCAAGGGAATTGAAAAGGCCATTTTGCTGTTGCCAGACTTGGTCTGCCACTGGCAACATTTTCATTTATTTTGGAACAAGTAAGGAAACTAAGCTGTGAAACCTGCGCACATGCTGTATCTGCCCAAATGGATCTACGCAGTGACACAGAATCACAAACACACGGTTTTGGGGAAGCAGTCTGAGGAGATCTTTTACAGTCTTTGAAGTTTATAAAATAACTGTTTATGGTTTATAGGGAAAACATTCTGCAATTAACAGGTGAAAGAAAGGACTCTTCTTATCCAAGTAGTAAAAAATTAGAAAACCTCCTATAGCTATTTTGTATATAATGTTTCCATTAAGATTATAGGACTACCATATGCTGAGCAGCTGTAGGATGGAGCCCCTAAGTGTCAGTAAAACATACAGTTAAAGTAGCTTCAAGCAGATGGGAATACCATTAACACATAGGGGATATATTGTTAGCTCATACTAAAGCAAATACTATTTGGTGCTGAAATCCTTCTTATCATCAGAAAAATACATAAATTCTAAGTTTTGCATTTACAGAAAGTAGTGTCTGATTTTCCTGTCTTTGAAAACACAAAGCTTTGCCACTTATTCAACAGAATTGTGTCCCTAAACAAGCATGAATTCAACAACAAAAAGAACTACAGCCAGAAGAGAGTCTGTAAGACCACAAGGTCACTGAGTCACCGATTTCTTCTGATAGCTGCAGTGCAAGTCAGTATCCTCTCTAGGGACTGGCTGCTAGCAGTAATGAGCATTCGGCAGTGGGGCATACAGCAGCACTTCGTGAGTTCTAAAATGTGTTAGAAATGCTTAGAAATTGTTAGAAAGTGTTAAAATCATTTACACGTGTTATTTCTAAGTAACAAACTTTTTAAAGAAAAAAATAACGGAAAAAGCTCAGGAATAATTCAACCATTAACTGTCTTTACTCTGTTATACAGAAATATTTTCTTTTTTTTATTCAGACTGCATTGCTTTGCAATGATCTATATTACCTGGGATTTACCTGCACCAGCTGTCTGTGCGACTAAACTTCTACAGCTAAATGCACAGACTAGCAATTTTCACCCTTATAAAAGGGTATTCTCCACTGTATCTCCTGATTGAACTGGCGATATGATTACTCCCTGGCTCAGTTCATTCAAAATGGAGCTGGATTAGTTTAAATATTGTAATTTGCTCACCTGGCTCATTCTGATTGAAAGAGATAAAGGATAATCATGTGAGCCATCCTGTCGGTGCAGTAATCTCTGACAGGGAAGTAAGGAACGTTCCATGAGCATGTAAGGACAAAAACTACTTACATCGAAAGAGGCCAACCAAGACAAAATACGTGTCAGCAGACTGCCAAGGGAGATTCATTATACAACTTTTCACTACAGCTCAACATTTTAAGCAAGCAAATGCCAGCTGTAAGGGAAAACAGTTTGGGAATTCCCTAAATTAATACAGTTGTCTAAAAGGCAATGATAAATTTAATAATGAAAATAGTCCTCATTAAATAAATGTGGTATAATATGAAGTTAGTTGTGTATGATTACTTTCGTTTTGGAGAAGAAAAACTTGGAAATAAACATATTATTAATGGAAAAAAGCCATACTGTTTTATTTCCATAGAAAGTCACCAGTACACAAAAATTTGCAGTTTCTTAGCCATTCCAAGGAAAAAATGTCCTTATTTCCAACAAGTGACAAGCTTCTACTTTACCAATGTACCATGTGAATGCTTATTTTATTTTAGCCTTAGTCAGTTAAATTCCAACAATTGAAAATGGACATCGATTTTTATCAGAGTGCTACATTACCTTCTAACACATGTTAAAAAAGCTATAGTAGCCTCTGAAGCTGGCTATTACAATGGTTCTTTTGACTATGCAAGGTACTGAATACAAGGAAAGCCAAGAAAAATTACAACAGGGCCAGACAGACAATGCCAAAATGTCTTCTTTCGTTTTCTCAGTTTTAAAGAGAAAATTAATATTATTCCGAAAGCATCACTATCCACAATTAATTGGACTATATTTCTAGCTACTGTATCCGTGTTCCTTTGATGTCCATTTGACAACCTATTCGCTTTTGACCTAAAAAAAATATTAAATCTGAGTGACGACCTGGCTGTCAAAGAAAACTGCATATGCCATGAGGATGCAGGTACGGATGCAGCCAGTTCACCTGAAGGTGAAAAAGCAAGAAAAATGGAAATATTTGCTGGGAAACAAGAACAAAAATACACAGAATAATCTTCTAAGGAGGAACACACAGCAGAAGTTACGACAGACCTTTCCATAAAGAAACTTCTAAAGGAGCCCTCCTACGTGCCATTCAGATGCTATTAGTGGCAAAATCAAATATATTTCCCTATATAATCTGATTATTCAAACCAAATTTTTTTTTTTAACTTCATCTGCACGCTGACCTATCATTCGAAAATGATGTGAACAATGGGAAGTCCTCTCATATACTAGCGGATGGCAACGGGCCTCAAAACAAAGTTTCAAATCCATGCTTCATGTATGCAAGTTAAATTAAATGCCATCTTTACTTACCCTCAAGTTATCTACATTGCACATTGACTTAATTGCATTCAAATTCCATAAATTCTCTCCTTCTGTTGATGTAAACACCACTCGTGAGTAGCGATCACCTGAAATTACAGGAGGGGGGTTTTATAGGTTATTTGGGTGTGTCTGGTATCAAAGACTGAGGCAAAATCCCACCATTCATATGACATAGATGAAATCTTTGTCAGGTCATGGGAATCCACCTTATTTTCAAGATGAGCTATTTATCTGTGAGACTCAGTCCACATGAAAGTTTCAGTTTCCTTCAAGTGCTTATAGTAAATATGGCATCTTCAATATTATATACCACTTAGAAGCTCTACAGACTTCTATTCAAGCAAACTATCTTCTGAAATATGACAAACAAATACAAATCAAAAGATCTAATCAGCAAACTATGAAATTCTTGGCACAGCATAATGGCAGTACACAGATAATAGTAATCAAAGGCTGATTTAGTAAGTCACTTGGGAATATAAATAATAATTATAAAGCTGTTTCTACAAGAATGTTTTTGCCTTAGAAGCAAATGACTGCAGTGGAAATTGTGATATCCTTCAGGCCATTTTTAAGAATTCTACAGTTTAGACAAATACAGCTTAAATTACAAATTAAATCACATTAATTAGAAGACAGCTTTTAGGAAAGGAAATAATTACTTAGTGGCACTGAGATCTTTATGCATAGCTAACAAGGGAAACTTATATACAAACATAAATACATGGTACTGCGTAACACAATATCATACTTTTGAGTTAAGAAACTTTATCATGTTAACTATCATATTTCAAAAACCAAGAGGCTTAATTTTTCCCATTGCTGTGATTGTGCAGAATTTTTGCCTTTCACAAGACTGCAATGAAAAGACTCAGGGGCTGTGCTTTACAATCTTTGACCGTGCTTTAAGATCAAGGAAACTGAGATCTGCTGATCCTGGAACAGACAAAGAAAGATACCAGGAATGACAAATACGGGTCAAGAGGAAATCAACTGTTTTCTTTACATAAGGGACTGGCAAACTTTCCCATAGAAGCACAATTCCTTCATGACTGCCACAACTGAGACTATGCAGAAACAGCAATGGAAAGACAGAGTGAGACTATGCAGGAACAGCAGCAGGCAGGATAAGAGGAGTTAATTCTGCTTCAACTTGCAGTTAATGCTCCGTAGAGTTTCAAGTACATTTCCTCTTCCTTGCACAAGATCTGCTCAGTCTAATTTGTTTCTGCTCACAAGAGCAGAAAAGACGACCTTGCTCACATCCTCTCACTTAGACGTGAGACCATATCGTAATCAAAAAAAGAAATCATAAATCTGTTTTTCACCCTGGTTTTTACCGGTCACTGCTCTCTCAGATCAAGTAATATAAACAAACAATTTCACAATTATGTTTTTGTGCTCTGTTATCAGTCCTCACATATTGAGGTGGCTGCAAAAGAGCCCAGGTCATTATATGAACAAATGCAACACCTACATCTGCTAATGCATGCTCTCTGCCAGCACAGGACTTATCAAAGTTTTGCAGTATGCCTTGTCAAATGTCAATAAAGACTTCTTTGTCTAGTTTAACTGAGACAGCTTAGCAAGCCTCCAGTAC